CATTTTTGTAAAGAAAAAAACATATAAAGCATGTGTTAAGTGACAGTTTTGTTTTTTTAAAGTTACGGGAACAGTTTGGTTACTAGTCCCCTACAAGCAGGTTTTCTGAAGTTTTGCTATCTTGATAGTAATTCAAACAATGATAGGAAGTCAAAAGCCTTCTATATAGGTAAAAATATCTAAAGTCCTTTTGACAGAAGGAAAGATAATCAAAACCTGGAAACAAAAGTCTTCCAGGAAGAGGATTGGTCTATAAACCAAATTTTAAAAAATTTTAAATACTGTATTCAATCTGCCTTACAACCCTTTATCTTGCACGTGACCTCCATCATTTGGAAAAGCACAAACTCAAGTCTAGCCTCTTTCTCCCGTAAGTTTCTCTCAGCGTGATGTGGGGGCTTCCATAGCCTTCTACAAAGCTTGTATTAGCCCTAGTTACTTTGCCCAAAAATCTCAGTTTTCTGGAAAACAATTCCAACACATTGCTTTTGCAGCTGCTTCTGTTAGTCTCAAAATCCACAGTTCCAAGAAACCAGTGTTACAATGAACCTCCACCACTCACCTTAAGGTATAAAGAATCCTGGATTTATCCCAAACCCAAATCATCTAGCACAAGTTTTATTTGGAAAAAAGGCTTCTGGGAAGTCATTTTAAACTTGAGACATTACAAGACAAGAGTGACACACAACACACAGGACCTTCCCTAAATCAGCTGTTTTTGTTGTAACACTTCTAACAAGAATGGATTCTATAGAACTTAAGTTCTCTTCATTAACACTTTGCTTTATAATGCAATCTCAGCTACTGCATTTAGTAAACAAAAGAAAACATTCATATGATAGAGTGGTCAAAATAAGAGGTTACTTTGCATTTTTTTCCCTTCCAAAAAGTACAAGTTTATACTTTTATGCTCTAAATTTATTTGCTTTTCGTTAATACTTTATACAGAGTAATTCTAGACTGCTCAGAAGGTATTGCTGGATTTAAGGGAAATAAGGTGGGCTTCTGAAGAAATATGTGAGGATTAACTATTAGGAAAGTGAATTTCACCTGTTTCTTGGTCACAAAGAAAGCTGACTTCCTTGGGGATAAATTCTTCAACAAGTTGGGTCAATAGGTTGCATAGGTCTTTGATTTTTAATGCAGTAATTAAGAATTCTACATCTGCACTGGCTGGTGTAGCTCAGTGGATTGAGCATGGGCTGTGAACCAAAGGGTCACTAGTTGATTCCCAGTCAGGGCACATGCCTGGGTTGCAGGCCAGGTCCCAGTGAGGGCCACATGAAAGGCAACCACACATTGATGTTTCTCTCCCTCCCTTCTCTTCTCTCTGAAAATAAATAAAATCTTAAAAAGAAACAAAAACAAAAAAACAATTCTACATCCTTTGCCCTGGCTGATTGAGTGCTGACCTCTGAACCAAAGGGTCACCAGTTTAATTCCTAGTCAGGGCACATGCCTGGGTTGTGGGCCAGGCCCCCACTGGAGGTGGGGGTGCACAAGAGGCAACCACAGATGGATGTTTTTCTCCCTCTCTTTCTCCCTCCCTCCTCCTCTCTCTAAAAATAAGTAAATAAAATCTAAAAAAAAAAAAAAATCTCCATCTTCTATCACCAAGTTTTAAGGAACTAATTTTTAATCATTACCCCTCCCCCATACAAGTGCATACACAAAGGCATATAAATATTTCTTGATAGTACAGGATTATTTGCTACACAATAGTCCAGTTTCCCAGGCTGGCATTATTTTCAAGTTTCAACACCTAATTTTTTTTTTTAAAAAGAAACTTTTTTTTAACCAAGTACCCCTAGATTAAAATCAAAGCGGAAAAATAAAAGTAGAAGAAAATCGTCCTGGCTGGCATAGCTCAGTGGATTGAGCGCGGGCTGCAAACCAAAGTGTCGCAGGTTCGATTCCCAGCCAGGGTACATGCCTGGGTTGCAGGCCATAACCCCCAGCAACCATACATTGATGTTTCTCTCTCTCTCTCCCCCCCTTCTTTCCCTAAAAATAAATAAATAAAATCTTAAAAAAAAATAAAAAAGAAAATCATTATGGAAATAATTGGCTATAAGATGTAGTTTCTAGTATTGGGGTAGCCATTCCAGTAGCTTACAACTATTGACTTTCTACTCCATGTATGATTTTCAATTTGTGAGCATGATTTACACTACAGCTATGAATTGTATGACGAGCTAACTCTATGGGTAACTGCATATGCTGTACTAATTGATGTTATTAAGTCAACTTGAAAACCACATAGTCGGGAAAGAAAAAATGAAATTCTCCTGATCACTCTTGCTATTAATTTCTATTTTCCTCTTACAAGTGCTTTGAAAAGTGTGTCTAAGAAAATTTTACCATGTAGGCAGTAAGAACACTGAACAACAAGTAAGTGATCCGGGATGGACCACTGGAGGGCAGAAAACTAGTAGCCTTTTAACAGCAAGCAGAGCCATACACCCAAAGTTATCACAGTGGAGGTGAGGAATCTTGTTAAATTTGCTTTAAAAAAATTATATATATACATATATATATATATATATATATGTATATATATGTGTGTGTGTTTAAATGTCCCTGGCTGGTGTACCTCAGTGCTCCGAACCAAGGGTTCGCTGTTTCAATTCCCAGTCAGGGCACATGCCTGGGTTGTGGGCCAGGTCCCCAGTGGGAGCCACATGAGAAGCAACCACACACTGATGTTTCTCCTCCTCTCTTTCTCCCTCCCTTCCCCTCTCTCTAAAAATAAATAAATAAAATCTTTTTAAAAATGTTTAAAGGAGATAGGTGAGAAGTATTGGAGACCAAGGGTCTAGTGCAGGAACAAATACAGGTTTCAACACAGGAGTGCCCTTGACCATATTCTAAAAACCAGCTACTTAAAAAAATAGCCAGAGAAATTTTACAGGAAAAAATAAATAAATAAAGTTAGTATTTATTGAGTGTCTACTGTGTCCAGCACTTTAAGAAATACAAAAGCAATGTGACTTAGTTGCTACCCTCAAGGGGCTTACAATCTAATTTGAGAAGCAATTCAGAAACTCTGAAAGTGAACTGGGGTAAGATTTACTACCTCTAACAGTGTCACTAACTCCACTGGATGGTTTGTGTTAATGACCACTTCCTCCCCTTCCCCATCAACATGAATCTAATATTTAAAAAGAGTACTTCCCAGTTAGGACATATTAAATAAGGAGGAGCTTTAAAAATCAAAAACAGTACGTTTTAAGGCCTTTCATCATTAGTTTACATACCAAAAATACTTCCTGTTCATAACGGAAATAATCACTGGCATATTCTAATCTGTAAGGACAATGGTGTAGGATCTCAAAGCAGTTTTATCAACCCATACACAGCCAAAACGTTTCAGTTCTCTGGTAATGCTATTTGTCATTGACCCTCATCATCTCCCAGCAAGTTACAGCAAATACTCCCCAAGCATGATATGGGCGGTGGGATGGGGAGAAGACAAAAAGGAATTTCTCCATCTAATAATCAGGGACAGTCAAAGGCAACACGGTAACAATAACATGAAAAATGTCTATTACTGTGGTGTTTTTCTTTCCACAATATCCTACACCAGAGGTGGCTACAATTCAAGAATGATGGAAAAGGAGCAGTCCCCTGTTTGTGACATCAGTTTGCAAAGCAAATTTAGGGACTGCCCTCAGGGTGAAGGGTATGAAGAAATTTGGAATTCCTGTCCCATTATGAAAAGAGTGAACAAATATCCCAGTGCTCTAGTGCGTCCCTTAGGCGTAATGCACTCGATGGGGACCTCCATGTCCAGCTTCCTAAATAATATCATAATTGCTTGGGGAACCCCAAACTACAGTATTAACAACAGAAAGCTAAAGACAGAAGCAAAACATATATTCCAAAAACTGGGGCGGTGAGAAAAAAGAAGGGTAATAAGAGAAGCTGACAAAGAAGCTGGAAACGGAGAGGGGACGCAAGCCCACGCGTGGAGGATGGGAAGCTCACCCGCTCAGCGGCGCCACATCTCCTCCTTACCTCCCACCCGGAACAATTTAATCCCCCGCACTCCAAACTGAGGGCCACATGGGGGAGTTTGGGGCAGCTCCACCCCATCACCCTCCCTCCGCTCCGCCACCCCCAAAACCAGGCCGGATCCGGATACGAGGCCCACAGAGGGTTGAAAAAGGAGAAGGCCCCCTCATCTTCTCCACAGGAACCGGCCGGGGTGGAGAGGGCCCTACCTCAGGCGGGGCCCAGGCCTCGTTGGCTCGCGCTCTTTCTCGCTCTCCCCCACCTCAGGCTCTAGCCGCATGCCCCCCCTCCGGCTGCCCCAAGCCCCGCCCCGGCCACGCTCCCAAATCGAGGCCCCGGCTCTGGTAAGGCCCACTAGGCCGCGAACCCAACCATAAACAAAATCTCCGGCAGCCGACTGGGGGATGGGGCTAGTAGCCACGACTCGCACGACTGAGAGGGATGTACAGTGGGGGAACACACGGTGCGGGGGGGCCTACCAAAGGAGGGGAACACGGCGGGGTAGGAGAGAAAAAAGGGAGGGTAAAAGGGGGAATCGCGGATTTAAAGGGGCCGCGGACAATACCCGGCCCCGCCGCGCTGCCGCTGCTACCGCCGCCGCCGCCAACACCGCTGCGCTCCCAACTTTACCTCAGTCTCCTCCACACTGACACCCCGGGCCGCGCCGCCCCTGTCACGTGATATAAGGTTCCCTCCTCCCCGCCCCCATCCCTCCTTTTCCCTCTCGCGCTCGCGCTCGCGCCTTCCCCCTCCCACTTGCCTTCCTGCGTCCCCCAGCACGTGACACGAAAGGGACGCGCACGCAAGCGTGCGCGTGCCGCCTCGCCACGAGACACCTCACTCCGGCTCCGCGTGTCCCTCTCCCCACCGCCTCCCCCACGGCAGTCACGCCCCCCCACCACGTGACCCACTGCGCGGCCTGCGCTTCCTCTTACTGGTGTATTTCCGCGAGTCGGCGATCTCCGCTCCCGGCTGCCATTGCGTGCCTGAGTCACGTGATGGGTGAAAGCGGGAAGGTGTCGTTCTTCTTTCCCAGAACTCCCTAATCCGCCATGTTTTCTGGCCGGGTCATCCTTGGTCTTTCCCCGTAAGGAAATGGCCGGGGAGCTTCGGGGGACCAAGGCGCCTTTGCCCCGGAAGAGCCCGGGCTGACGAGGCACGGCAGCGGGGTAAACTGGAGCAGTTCTGCGCGGGGTGGGGAGGCCATGGCGTCCGGCAGTAACTGGCTGTCGGGGGTGAATGTCGTCCTGGTGATGGCCTACGGGAGCCTGGTGAGGAGATTCCCCTAACCCATTCCTGCTGTTGGGTGTGACCCCGTGGAGCCCTTCCTCGTAGAGACCCTGCCTCGTGTGAGGCACTTTCCCATCCTCCTCATCCACTCATTCACCTACGCTTTTTCTGGGTTTTGACTCCTCTCCTAGGCGTATACTGCCCCACCCCTGGTCGAGAATCCTCCCTCTGAATCCTAAGGCACGGACCCCCCACACCTCCGCGCTCCTGGCTTCCTTTTACACACTCCATCTTTGATGGCCTTGCTGCCCCAAGTTATACCCCTGAAACCTCCCTGAGAACCTGAATCTGGGGATCTAAAATGAAGGCATGATTTTTGCTTGTTTTCACTGTCTTTTTATTTAAGGTTCTTTATGTTTCTTACATTTTTTTGGACAGGTGTTTGTACTGCTCTTTATTTTTGTGAAGAGACAAATCATGCGCTTTGCAATGAAATCCCGAAGGGGACCTCACGTCCCTGTGGGACACAATGCCCCCAAGGTAGGTCCTTAAGGCACTGGGTAGGCCTGGTTCTCCAGATCTGTTAAGGCGCAGAGTGAGATTTTTTTTGCCTTTGGAAATGACTTTTAAGTTCCTGTTTCCATGTCCAGTTACCCACGTGCTTACCTTAGTAGATTGAGCAATAACAGTTAGCTTGGGGCCTGGCTTACCTGTTTACTGCTCTGGCATAGCCTGTAGCTTACCCAGGAACTTGAGTTTTTGCATCTGCGGAATGAAGAGCTTGGATTAAAATTCCCAACTTTTGTGTTGTTTCCCGCTTCAGCTTAACTACCCTGTGTTTTGTTTGTTCGTTCGTTTCAATTTTGTTTTAGAATGGGGTGAGGGTGGTAAAATTAGCTCATGATTAGCATCATGAGCACGATGAGAAAAGTTGCCTCCAAAGAATTTTAGATTTCTAAGGGCTCCACAAATCATCTAGTTCCAACTTTCACGTTAGAAACTGAAACCTAAGAAAGTGAAACAATTTACCCAGGCATTTTAAAAAGAGAATAACCAAGTGGTTTCTTTGTCTATATTCACTTCTTAGGTAATTGCTTGCCTTTCCTTGGCCTGGTTATTTATCTACTGATGAAATTTTATCTCTATCCCAACCTCTTGCCTGAGTTCCATGCTTGTATATCCAACTGCCTACCTAACATTTAGATGTTTGATAGGGAGGCAAGTAACCTATAAGACGTCTAAATCGCAGCTCTTGATAATCCACCACCAACCCCATCCTGCTGTTTCTGTCTTCCACTTCCCAGTTAAAGGTGCCTGTTGGCCTTACCAATCTCCTTTTGTATGGTTCTCCCTTCATCACTGGGGCCTGGCTACATTGGTTGAATTTCCCACTGTTACATGTCCTGTTACTGTGACCTAGAATGATTTCTAGTCTTCACTTGATTAGCTCATTTGTTCTTTAGAACTTAGCATATTAGCTTAAATTTTATTTCCTCCAAAGAGGAGTGCTTATTACCTATAGGTCATCCTCTGTTTAATTTTCTACTTGTTTAATGCCTCTCACTAAATTATAAGCTTCAAGAATGCAAGTACCCTATCAGTTTTGTTCACCAGTGGAAAACCAGGTCCTACACATAATAGGTACTCAATAATTTGTTTTAAGTGAAAAACAGGTTAGTGGGAGCACTAGACCTAGTATACAACTCCTCAACTCCTAAGCCAATGTTCTTTCATTAACCAGTGCTATTAACCCTCCCCTCCATGTTCATTGCTAATACATTTCATAGAAAACCTCAAGGAACGTGACATGGCCTGAAACATCAACAGTTCAAATGCCTGCTGCCTCCCATGAGAGGAATACAGGGCTGGCATCCAATATATCATGAGCCAATCAAAACTTTTGACTACTGTATTTTGGCATGTGTAATGTGCACTTTTTTGCCCAAATTTTTGAGGGTAAAATAAGAATGTGCATTATTTCTGGATAGTACTAATTCCATATCTATATAAATGTTTTTAATTCTTTTATTTATGCTAATGCATTAAAAGTATAACTCTAGAAAGCAATAACAATTATCTGTACAAAATAATACTCTGGAATACAATAATTGGTTTTGTTTCCAAATATAAATAAGTAAATTAATTGAATTAAAAATAGAAAGTGTTTTTTTTTTTCCTGAAATTTTGGGCCAAAAATGTGGGAGCGCATTATACCCAGCAAAATACGGTATTTAGGAGCCCCCTGGAGTAGGAGAGACCAAGGTTCCTTTTGCTCGTAAAAATTCTCTTTATCTGAATCCACATCCAATGTCGGTGGAAGTAAAAATTAGTTAAACCACTGTGGGAAATAATTGGGGATTATTTTGTAAGATTGCACATATACTTAATCCACAGCCCAGCAGTTCCACTCCTACCATAGAGAAATTAATTTTTGCTCATGTGTACAGAACACATGTACAAGAATATTCATGGTAGCGTTCTTTATAATGTTTTTAAAAGAAATTATTAATCCAAATGTCTTCTTGGGAATGGCTACGTAATTATATATTTATATTTTGAAATACTATAAAGAATGAAAATAACCCTGTCTAGATAGCTCAGTTAATTAGACCAAGGTTGCGAGTTTGATCCCCCAGTCAAGGCACATACAAAAATCAACCAATGAATGCATAAATAAGTGGAACAACAAATCAATGTTTCTCTTTTTCCCTCCCTCTCTAAAATCAATTGAAAAATAAATAAAGCCATGGCCAATGTGCCTCAGTTGGTTGGAGCATCATCCTGTTAACCATAGGGTTGTGGGTTCAGGTACATATGGCAGGTAGTCGTTCGGTGTTTTTCTCTCACATTGATGTTTCTCTCTCTTTAAAAACAATGAAAAAATGTCCTCAGGTGAGGGTTAAAAAAAAACTTTTAAAGGATGAAAATAAACCAAAGATAAATTTATGAACACAAATGAATCTCCAAAATATTTGTGAATGTAAGTCACAAACAGGAATGACTCTCAAAGACATCCTGAGTGAATAAAAAGCCATTCACAAAAGAGTATGTGCCATATGGTTCTTTTCCATTTATCTGAAATTCTAGAACAGGCAGAACTATATTGATAGAAAGCACATCAGTGCAGCCTGGCAAGGGAGGTTAACAACAAAAAGACATGAAGAACATTTGGGGGTGATGGAAATGTACTTTGATTGGGATGGATGCATGTAAATTCACACTCAATAAAGGCTATTTAAAATTTTTTAAAAGACAGGTTGCAGAGGAATTCAAAAAGTATTTTTCCATTTGTATAAAATTAAAAACTAGGCAAAGTTAAATACTTTGTTTAGGATGATGTGGTAAAACTGAAGAAAATTAAGACTTGACAAATTAAGATTGGGGGGTTGATTTCAGAGATGGGCACACAAGGCTTCAAGCTCATTGATAATGTTCCAGTTTATAAACTGGATAGTAGGTGCAGGTGCTCATTTCTTTAAAACATGGAATGCTTCATGAGTTTTCATGTTACCATCCTTGCACAGGGGCCATGCTAATCTGTGTATTGTTACCACTTTAGTACATGTGCTGCCAAAGCAAACATGCTTTTGTCTTGATATTTAAAATGTACATGCATGTATTAAAAGTTACCCAAAAAATCTACTTACTGGGGCTCTAGCAATCCTCTTAAGTAGGAGATGAACATGAAACTTAATGGGTTGCTGGTGGATAAGTGAGGAGCGGCACTTTCAGTACCTTTTTTTTTTTTTTTTTTAATCCTCACCTGAGAATATGTTTATTGATTTTAGAGGGGAGGGAGGAACACTGATGTGAGAGAGAAACATTGATCAGTTGCCTCCTGAATGCACCCTGACCAGGAATGGAGCCCACAACCCAGGCATGTACCCTGACGGGTAGTCAAATCTGCAGCCTTTTGGTGTATGGAATGGTGCTCCAACCAACTGAGTCACCCGGCCACGGCAAGTACCTTATTAAATTTTATACCATGTGTATGAGTTACCTACTTAAAAGGTACTGAAATGTGCTCTAGAAGAAATTCTGTAGAATTTCCGTGGTCCACCAGAGAGATGATAGTTCCCAAATTATTATAAGACATACAGGACTCCTTACAGAATTTTAGAGTAGCTTATGACTTCTAGTTGCTGATTTTTTTCCCAACCTAGGAAGTTCTTTATAGTACCTAAACAGGAGTCCTCTAAGTCCAGTTGAAAGTCAAAAATAATGTTGATGCTGTAGAGGTTGAGGGAATTCTGGCAAGTTAAAAGATCTAACTTAGAGACATAGTTTGGAGAAGTTCTTAAATCCAAATCCCATTCTTAAATTTTTTTTTTTTAAGATTTTATGTATGTATTTTAGACAAGGAAAGAGAGGGAGAGAAGCATCAGTGTGTGGTTGCCTCTCGCACAACCCCACTGGCGACCTGACCTGGCCTGCAACCCAGGCATGTGCCCTGACTGGGAATCAAACTGGCGACCCTTTGGTTCACAGGCCAGTACTCAATCAACTGAGCCACACCAGCAAGGGCTATTCTTCTATTCTCGAGTCTTGCAATTTCATTAGCCAGGTGAACATTTTCTCTGCTTCTATTGTCTTAGTTGCTCATTTGCTGTGCTCCATTTCCAGACTGATGAAAAGCAGAGTACAGGGTAAGTGATTGTGTACTCTTTTTTTCTGTGTGAACAGGACTTAAAAGAGGAGATTGATATTCGACTCTCCAGGGTTCAGGATATCAAGTATGAACCTCAGCTCCTTGCTGATGATGATGCAAGACTGCTGCAGCTGGAAACCCAGGGAAATCAGAGTATGTGGCATGTTCTTGGAGGATACTTCAGTGAAGAATCCCACAAGTTCAGAATTCTTTGTTCTCAGAGTTATAACAGCTGTTTGCAAAACCAGCAACTGTGGTTCCTCTGTTATTGGGTATATGACATGTGGGGAGGCAGATTATTAGCTTGTTGGAGTTCAGAGATATTTTTGAGGGTTGTGTCTGAGACCACTCTCTTTCTCAACAGATTGCTACAACTATTTGTATAGGATGAAAGCTCTGGATGCCATCCGTGTCTCTGGTAAGGTCTATTTGACCAGCCATTTGGGATCCTGAAAGCTTATTTGGGGAAGACAGGGAGGAACTGGCTTTATGTATGTTAGAATTTGTCATTTCTGCACACCCCTGGCTAGTAGGAATTTCTTAGAGTTTTGCGAGTACTGGGTAACTTTTGCTTAAGAAAATGATGTAGGCAATTTATTTCTTTTACAGAGAGTCTGGATTTGATTTGTTCTTTAGACCTTTAGTTTCATGCACTGGATGGTGGTAGTTTACTTGTTTTCCACAAGACAAGCAACATAAGCTTTTTTGCTAAACCAAAGATAGATGGTTCTTGAACGTTTTTTTAAAGATTTTATTTATTTTATTTATTTATTTTAAAGGTTTTATTTAAATTTATTTTCAGAGAGAAGGGAGGGAGGGTGTAAGAGAGGGAGAGAAGCATCCATGTGCGAGAGATACATTGATTGGTTGCCTCTTGCACCCCCCCCCCCCAAACTGGGGACCTGGCCCACAACCCAGGAGTTTGACCTGAGTGAAATCAAACCAGTGACCCTTTGGTTCACAGGCCGGCCCTCAATTCACTGAGCCACACCAGTCAGGCTTGAACATTTTTATTCTATGACCATCATCATATATTCTATGTCTCAACCAAAACATAGTTTATCAGGGGTGTCAAATTCATTTTCTCTGGGGACCATATTAGCCTCGTGATTGCCTTCAAAGGGCTGAATGTAATTTTAGGACTGTATAAATGTAACTACTCCTTAATGGTTAAGCGAGACCTTGGTGCTGCCACCAGGTAGAAACAAGGTGTAGGGCCGGATTTGGCCCCTGGTCCTTGTGTTTGCCACCTGTGGTTTATATCTTGTAGGGTAGGTAAGTAGGAGGGTAAATTGGACAATGACACTAATGTGTACCATTGGTATAGCTTTAGTTGTGTTGCCACCACCAAATGACAACTCAGACACAGCTCTATACCTCTGGTCTTCTTAACTCTTTAGAATTTCCCTTCAGTTCATTCATTGGACCCATTTCAAAGTTTGGGAAATTAAATACAAAGACTAACAAATGGGAGAAGGGGTATCATTTTGCTGTTTATCTTCTCAGAGATCCCATTTCATGCTGAAGGCCGGCATCCCCGTTCCTTATTGGGCAAGAATTTTCGCTCCTACCTGCTAGATCTTCGAAACACTAGTACTCCTTTCAAGGGTGTGCGCAAGGCCCTCATTGATACCCTGCTGGATGGCTATGAGACAGCCCGCTATGGGACAGGGGTAAGTTGTGCGGCCACTTTTTCCTTCAGGGTACTAAAGGAATCCCAGACTGAGAGAGTCTCACTCTTCCTTTCTTTTCCCTCAGGTCTTTGGCCAGAGAGAATACCTGCGCTATCAGGAGGCTCTGAGTGAGCTGGCCACAGTGTGAGTTTAAAGAGAAACATGTCACAATGCATAGAGGGACTGCTTAGAGAATATAGTAGTGCTGGACTGTTCCCACAGTGAGGTGGCTTTCATAAACAATAGGAACAAACTCCAAGATAACATAAAAGTTGTTAGGTCCTAGACCACAAGTGACAAACACAAGGCCTGCAGGCCAAATCCAGCCCTCCACCTTGTCTTATCCAGCCGGGACTTTGTTTCTCCCCGGCGGGAGCACCAAACTTTCGCTTAACTGTTAAGGAGTAGTTGCATTTATACAGTCCTAAAATTACGTTCAGTCCTTTGAAGGCAACCACGAGGCTGCCCCAGTGAAAATGAGTTTGACACCCTGTCCTAGACTATTAGGACTGCCTTCACTCAACATTGGAAAGCACATGCTGCTCTACAAGCTAATAAGGGAAACTTCTTCTGTGTGCCTTTTTTTGTTTGTTTGTTTTTGACCCAGCTCTGTAAAATGTCAGAATTAGTATTAAAAAGACAGTTTTTCAACACACAAAGATTCCTTCTCTTCCAGGTTCCTCCTTCAGTGTGTCTTGGTTTGATAAAAATAAGAATGAAATGCCACCCTTTTTTTGTTGTTGTTTTAAAACCACTTCAAGCATTAGTAACGCTCTTCTGAAACAAAGGACATCACTACAGAAAGGAATCACGATTTTTGTCTGGGAATGTTTTAAATATATACCAACATTCCCCTGGCTGGTGTAGCTCAGTGGATTGAGCGTGGGCTGTGAACCAAAGTGTCACAGGTTCGATTCCCAGCCAGGGTACATGGCCTGGGTTGCAGGCCATAACCCCCAGCAACCACACAATGATGTTTTTCTCTATCTCCCTCCCTTTCCTCTCTAAAAATAAATAAATAAAATCTTAATATATATATATATACACACACATACCAACATAGCTTCATTATGTTTGTGCAAATGTAAAATGAAAGGGTAAAGAGGGAAGTCCAATCTAGAATAAAAAGTTAACCGCCATGAAAAGAAAGAATACATGTTTTCTGCTGTGTTGAATATGGAACTTCTCAAACAATAGTGTGTATGTCCTGTTTTTTTCTCTGTTCCTAAAAATAAACCACTTGTTCCTAAAGATAAATGGTCCTAGCAGAACCTACTTACACAGGTAATGGAAATGAACATGCGGAGAGGATGGAAAATAGTATTTAGTCTTGAAGTCACACCCTCTGTGACTTCCCATTCAAAATTCAAAATTGTTCAAAATTGTGGTTGTTTGTTTGTTTGTTTTGAAAGACAAATACCATATGGTTCCACTTAACTTGAGATGCCTAGAGTAGTTGAATTCATAAAGATAGAAAGGAGATCAGTAGTTGCCAGGGGCTGGAAGGAAGGGAGAATAGGGAGTTGTTTAGTAGGTAGAATTTTCCAAGCTGAAGAGAATTCTGGAGATCAGTTGCATGGCAGTATGAATGTACTTAACACTACTGAATTGTAAACATTTAAAAATAGTTAAGATGGCAAATTTTATGTTTATTTACTACATTTTTCTTTTAATTTAGTCTCTCTGATTTCTAGCTTCTAGAAAGGTTCATTGGGTATAGTGAAAATAATATAGGCTCTGAAATCTGACAAACTTAGGTTTGACTCCCAGCTTTTTGTCACATACCAGCTTTGTGACATCAATCAGGTTACTTAATGGACTCGCAGTTTCCTAACCTGCAAAGTGGTGGTGACACCACCATGAAGGGATATTGAGATGTTAGTAAAGTAGATGTTGGTAAAGCACAAAGTTGAATGTCCTAACATGTAAGTAGTACTCAACAGTTATTTTTTTTCTTACTGTTTGATATTCCAATTACAAGCACAGCAACTCAATGGGCTGGGAGTATATTAGCAGCATACACACAATAGGTGACTAAGAAGAATTAAAAGTTCTTTAAGCATAGTGAGATGAAAAGGTTGAGCCAGAGGCAGGAACCCAGTGGGAAAATTGGTTTCGCTGGTATTTCTAAGCTACCACATGGGATGATAGATGAGCCTTGAGTTGTATTCTTCCATTAGTCCTTATCCTGTTTGTCATGATCTGCCCTCTGTATTCTTCAGGGTCAAAGCACAAAGTGGGAACTCGCAGCGACAACATCAGTCAGCAGCCAAAGACCTAACCCAGTCTCCTGAAGTTTCCCCAACAACCATCCAGGTGACATACCTCCCCTCCAGTCAGAAGAGTAAACGTGCCAAGCACTTCCTTGAATTGAAGAGCTTTAAAGACAATTACAACACACTGGAGAGTACTCTGTGATGGTGCAAAAGGACTCTTGCTGTTGATGGAGACAGACTGAATTGTGCTTGCCAGGCACCCATCTGGCTCAGCATGTCCAGACTGGATCAGCTGAAGCTCACATCGTGTCCAGAGGTCTTAGAGCTTATGCCTAGAGGATCATTCTCCAAGCCTTTCTTACGGCCAGTTTCAAAACATCAGTGAAGACTTTTACTTTCCCTTGGTAGCCCTTTTTTCTGGAGTTGAATTCAGATATTTTTTAATGTTTCCGTCAAGCTTCCTTTAAAAATCCTCACTTGGTTTTGATCATAATTCATCTGCCCTTGTCCAGACTATAAATAATCCCAAGGGTGAGAGAATCGGGGTGACAGGACAAGAATGGCCAGACTGATGCACTGGTCTGACTTAACAAATTAATAAAATGAACAATTAAACAATAAAGCATATGATTAATTCATTTACAGTTGCTTTTTAGTAAAACAGGCATATGATATGTTCTCTGCACCTGCCTAATAGGTACAGTGTGAGGATTTCCCTTGAAGAAATTGGTGGGACTGGGTACCATACAGGTACTCAATGGGATTGCGACAGAAGAGATCCTAAAATTGGGACTGTGATTCTTGCTCATAAGATTGCCTGTGTCACTAATAGAAGCCTGGAGAACCAGGATTCCTTTCAGATCTCCAGGGCAACAGGCCAGGTGACCAATCAACTAGTAGGGTCATTGTTGGAAATGGAAATGTTGCTATGACAACTGAAACCTTGGTGACTGAACCAAACAGAGCTCGCTCAGTCTCCCAAGACCATATCAAGCAAGTCTGTAGACATGTCTACGGAAAAGGTGACAAAGGTAGAAGAGGTATGCAGAATTGGAAGGAGGGGTTGGGTAGGAGGGGGTTTCCCTTGAGGTTTGTGAGAGAGGCGCTTGATGTAACAGGAATGGGAGACTATGTCTGGCATATAGTAGGTATTCAGGTATTTATGCCATACCAACTCCTTCCTGTTCTCTCTGATCAATTCTGAAAAGAGCAGAGCTAGCTTCCCACCTCCCAACTCAGCCCTCTAGAAAGAAATATCTATGTGTTTCCCACTAGAATAAGGTACTAGGGGTGAAGTACTGGAGATAAGGACAGATCATCATAACTGCCTTTTCTTGCAGAGTTTTCAAAGGTCCCTGGGACTTAAGAAGTTGGTTGACAGGTAATCTCTGCTTCTATTTCTTCCCTTACCTTTCACCTTAACCTTTTACCCTCCTATCCTTGAGCCACCTCTCAGCTCTGCTTCATCTTGCTAGGGGCACATCAATAAGGCAGGCAGGTATGGGGGGGCGCCAGAAGCAGCTGTGTTTTCACTAGCAGAGATCAGCCTCCTAGTGCCCGCTAGGTTAGGCTGTATAGACAATGGTTTTTATTGCCCTTTGCTTACCATTCTCAAAAGGAAAACTGGAGCAAGTAGTTGTTGCCTGGCATTGTACTAATCGTGGTAGGGATGCAGTATTTGTTGAATGAATGAGAAAACTCGAAAGACCAGGCTCTATATTTCCTTTATCTAGGGTTAAGATTTTATTTTTAGAGAGAGGGGAAGGCAGGGAGAAAGGAGACAAACATCAATGTGTGGTTGCTTTTGCATGCCCCCAACTGGGGACCTGGCCTACCCCTGACTGGGAATCGAACCGGTGACTCTCTGGTTTGTAGGCCTGTGTTCAATCCACTGAGCTACACCAGCCAGGGCCTTGGAGGAGCTTTTTATAAAAACACATACTTAGGTCCTAACCCAGAAAATTATGACTAAAATAGCCCAGGATGGGATAGGATAAGACATCTTTTAAGATTTCACAGGTATACCCAGAGATAGCAAGAATTTGAGGTACCAAGGATGCATACAATTTTAGTGGGATTTGAGTTTTGAGGTAGCCGTTTTTACAAAGGCAGTTTGATAAAATTGATCTATTTCAATTTCATATATCCTTTGAACTAGCAACTCGTAGGAATCCTTCGGAAGCACTAGAATGCACACAAGCACATCCATAACAGCATTGTTTATAAAAGTGAAAAAGCTAAAAATCACCCAGCTAGTTATAATACGAAAATACTAGGCAGCCTTTACATAGAATGAAGGAAATCCCTATGTGCTGATGTGAAAAGTCCAACTTGTTAAGCAATACTGCTTATATAAATATGATTTTATGTAAAAGAATGATAATTACTGGTATATGAAAAAACTTTTCTAGAGAGACATGAACTTGGTAACTTGAGAAGGACTAGGGCAGAAGAATGAAGCTTTTGCTTTTTATTTCTGTATAGATTTAATTTTCTACTCATCTGTAAAAACTACTTGATATTTTAAAACTTCATGGGGTTATTGGAGCAAAGGGTACACACTATATGATATATATGTGTATTCCTTTTATGTATTATTGAAAACCTTAACAAATGTGTCTAGACAGGGTTGACAATCACCGGTATGATGGAAGGAATTAATCCTTAGGTTGGATTTGATACCCAGGTCTGCCATTAAGTGACCTTGGGCAATTCACCTGAACTTTTAGTTTCCTTGTCTGTATAAAGCAAAAATTAATATCTGTGACACATGGTTATTATGATGATTAAAGGACATAATGAACCTGATAGTAGGTTTTAAGCCAGTTCTAGTTACCCTTTCAAGGAGTTTGCAGTCTTCTGACTCTTACAGAGGTTTTTGGTGAAGAAGCAACCTCACTGACAAGGGTTTGTCTCCACTCCTAACTCTAATCCATTTAACCCCTACCGCTATACCTGGGGCAGGTGGCGAAATTCACACACTCACTGTCTGTGGCAGATGACATTGAGCCAGAGGAGAAACCCTTATGCCACCCTAAGGATGAGGGATATCATGGTACAGGAGCTGGCACTGGCAAGCAAGCAACTAATGATGGTGAGTTCTAGCAAGAGTGACCTTAAGTCTCATCCACTACTGTTCTGTGCCTGTGTCCATTGGGATTCCCAAGCTCTTAGTCTCTGCCATTACTTACCCATCGTATTTTCCTCTAAGGTTTTCACTTTTACACCAGAGCATGAACTCTTTAATTCTAAATGCCTAAACTCTTTTGTAAGATTCTTTGCATTCAATTGAGGAATGAACATTACAAAGTTCCAAAGTTCAGTCTAGCCCTCATCTTGGTGAGACTCTGGGGTCTTCAATTGTTGTCATGTCACCATCTTTGTATCCCAAGTGCCTGGCAGAGTTCCTGGTTCATGGTATGTTCTCAGCAACTATTTGCTGAACGTGGGGCTTCACCCCTGGAGAGAAATTGGCTTCTCCTCCAATGGTTTTGCCTCTTAGCTGCCTTTCTTTATGTCACAGCCCAGTCTAGATCCAAGAGAACATGACAGAGTGATCAGAAAGCAACCTGGGAAAGAGAATGAGAAAGGGGGAGGGGGAAGAGAATGAGAAAGGGGGTGGGGAGGAAATAGAGGGCAAATATCACACTCTCTTCTGCCCTCCCCATCAGGTCCGGCAGGCTGCCCTACACCAACTGTTTGAAAAGGAGCATCAGCAGTACCAGCAGGAACTAAATCAGATGGGCAAAGCTTTTTATGTGGAGAGACTCTGATGCCATCCAAAACACTGTCCTTTCATTTTCATCATGCCCAGTAACCTGCCCTTCTTGAGCCCCTACCACCTGGACCTTCCTTTCCAAAACACACCTGGAGCTAGTCACCTGCCCACTCACACCTCTGAAGCCCTGGTGCTATTTGGAAAACAATCTATAATATAAAACAGTGGTAAAAACAAGAGTGACACCTTGTGGTCAGAATGAGATATACAGTGTTGATGTAAGTGTGGGGAGGGGAGGTGGAGAGATGGACAATGGGAGAGAATCCTGATTTGGTTTAACAAATGAAGCTAGCTCTTAAACTGTTGCAAGGGTATCCAACCCATGGCCCAACATGGCTATGAATGTAGCCCAACACAAAATCGTAAATTTACTTAAAACTTTTAAGAGATTTTCCTGTGATTACGTGTTGCAATGTATTTAATGTATGACCCAAGACAACTCTTATTCTGGTGTGGCTGAGATGCCAGAAGATGGGACACCCCTGTTAAGGTTCATACTTAGACCACTTGGCTCATTCTTGCAGCCCTGAGTCTTAACTTATTTCAAAAGTGCTCATTCACTGTTGTTTAAATATCTAACTTCCTGGATTTGCTCACCACCTCTCAGATCTCACCTACACTGATTTTTTCTGTACACTTGGACAGATAACTCCGAATGTAGCTATCAACCTACAGGCACTGCAGTGCTTGAGTGTCAGGAGGCCTGGGTTTTAGGTTTTGAGCCAGGCAGTTATTGTGGAATGTTAGGATAAGTCTTTCTTCTGAGCCTGAATTCACACCTTTGCAAAATGACAGCGTTCCAATCTCAAATGCCTTCAGGGATCAGGCAGGTAATATAACAGATGTAAGGAAATTAGTTGTGGAATTTATAGGGACTGGAAAGAGCAGTAAGTCTAAAGTCATTCAAAATGTGAAGAAAACTGGAAAAGCACTGCATATAAGAGTCACTTTACATTCAAATGACATCCCAAACCAGAGAAATACACCCCCACCCCACCCCCGCCATTAAAAAATAAAATAGAACTCCCACTTCCCACCCCTTCCCCTTTGGGAACCATTAACTGTGGAGAGACCCCCATTTTGCAGTCAGTTACAGTTGCCTCAGCACATCATCACTCTGATGTAATCACTCAAACGCTTTTTCCTGTTCCCTCTCGCCTTCTACACCTAAGTTGGTCATTCGTCCTTTCACGTTGATATTTTCCTGCCTTCAACTTCTTGTGGCTATGTTTTCATGGCAAAACTCACACTTTTTCTTTCCCCTTTCCCACAAGTCTGTCTCCATCCCTCAATATATATTTTTCATGTCAACTCTCAGAGCTGCTCCTTCCTGCTCTCTATACACCCTACTGATGAGCACAGAGAAGCAGCAGGATACAGAGGGAAGAGCACAGGTTGGAAGTCAGGTGTGGATTCAAAGTCTAGCTTCCCCTAATTGTTGTCACCATTGGTAAGTTAATTTTCTGAGCCTCAATTTCCTCTTCTGAAACTGGGGACAATACCCATCTGATAGGACATTAAGAGGATTAAATAAGATAATGTATGTGGAGAGCAAGCCCAGTGCTTGGCACATGGTAAGTATGCCCCCCTTTTCCCTCTCAGGAGATTCCCTGTGACCCAGGCATGTCACAGTTCCCATGTTAGTCCCTTTATGCAGCTCAGATGTAATTCTCCATTCTATGCCTGTCCCCATCTCTGTCCTATATATCCATTCATTCATCCTCTAGCCCCCATCAGCCGTTTCCCAAGCCCTCTTATCTATAGTCAATAACTAACTACTCGTGAGGTCTTACACCAAACTAGACATGGAGCTCACAGGCTGGTGGGAAGGCAGGCGTTGAACAAGTAATGACAGGTATAAGGAGCTTTATAGGGAATGGAACCACATGCACGGGGCCTGGATTCAAAGCACAAACCAGAGACAGTCTCCAGTTTCTTCTGCCTGTCCCCTGCCCTTGGTTCCCAGCAGGTCCATCTTGCCTTCACTTCTTTTCATCATCTCTCAAATCTCTCCCAGCTGCCCTCTGCCTCCTACATATGTGCAACATAGCCTGGCGTTAGGAGAAGAGGCTTTAACACAACATGTCCAGGTTTGAATCTTGGCTCTGTCACTGCCTGTGTGGCTTTAAGTAAGCTGCTTTAACTTTCTGGGTCACAGAAGTAATGCCTATCTTTTCGGGTTGCTTGTATAGATTAAATAAAGCGTTTAGCAGAGGGGTGGTACACACTGTCCAATAAATGGTAACCCAAAATGACATTTTCCTGTTGAAAGGGACCAAAGTTTTGCCATTCAAAATGTGTCTTGGGATATTGACTATAAGCTGATCATTATGAAACAAAAGACTCAGAAAGAACCTTTGACCCTCCCCCTTTCCTATCTAAGAGATTTGGATGGAAGAGCTGCTCTCAGAAGGAAATCTTAGCATATGCACCTTAGTATTAGATAGGAAGGATCCAGAGGCCTGTTGACTAGATTCCCCTGTGTAAAATCAGTATCCCAGTGTGTCCACTCTTCTCACCTACCTGTAAATTGCCTGTTTTTCCCACATGAAATCCCAGACCCCTGCTCCCTTTTCTCCTTTATCCAGAATGTCATATAAGCCTCAACTGCCCAATGTGTTTCTGATCTCATTCTTATGGCACCCCCGCACCATGTGCATTTGTATAATAAACTTTGGACATTTTTTCCTGTTAACCTGTCTCTGTCGATTTATCAGCTCAGCTAGACTTAGAAGATAAGAGGGAAATTACTTTTTTAACCCTCATCCTACCCCACAATAAGTTTTCCTTTATATTCTTCATTAATGGCTACCCCTCACTTCCCACAACACTTCCTCACCAACCCCATTTTTATTTCTCTCTCCTCTGTTCATTTGGACCCACAGAATGCCCCACCCCCTCTGCCGTGATCCCTGACCTTGGCCTCTCTCCCCAGGGCTTGTCAGTGCCAGGCTGGTTCCAGTATTGGCAGGCTGGCCCCCCACAGAGCCCATGGCCTCTGATCCTCTCTACCTAGTCTGTCTGTTCTCATCACATCAGCTGAGTAGTTCACCCTATCACACCCATCCAGTCCCTTTTCCCTCTGTGATTGCTGCCTCACCCAGCTCCTCTGGTTCAGAATGGCCTAATCTTGTTTGAAATAGCTGCATAGACGGCAGCTCCCAGGAGAGCTAGGAAGCTTCCATCAGAGGCCATCTGATGTTTCTGCCTAGTTATGCCATCCAGAGTCTCCTTTTAAGAGAGCTGTTACTCTCCTACATCAATATTCCTGTCTCTGCCTCAGTTCCCCTAGTGCCCCAAACACTGAAGTCCTTTCAACTCCTGCTAGTCCTTTTCCCAGCCTCCCCCTTCAGCCTCTGGCTCTCCAGGATGGTTAAAGGTTCCCAGAGAAGAGAACTACAACTTAAGGAGTAAGGGTAAAAAGGAAGGTCAGGAATGTAACAATTACACACAACCCCCTACCGAGAGCCACAAAGGAGCAAGGACATTAGACAACACCACAGTATATAAGCCCCAAGGTATAAGCCTACCTTGGGGCTTATATACCCATTTGTTAGTCTTCGCCTGGAAGGCAAGCGCCACACAACAGGAATTGACTGGGGCTTGGGACAAGCTATTGATCTACATCAAGGGCACTGTGGAATTGGTATATGTGTGGAAGGAGGAGGGTGTTCAGACTAATGGGAACAAGGACACATGGAACAGGCCTCGGGGCTAAAGCAGAGCATCCTCCTCCCACACCCAGACTCCACCCAAGCCCCCCAGTGCAGCTATAACTTGGGCTCCTCTCTGCCACAGTAGAAAGAAGCATCTGCATGCCACATGGCATTCAACAGACCTGATTCTCTTCAGAAGAAAGATCTCCCAGAAAGTAAGCAGGCTGGAAGACCCTTACAGCACCTAACCCAGGAGTTGTACAAAGCCTCAGAAGAGGAGAGTCCTAAAGACTGCAGGTTGCTTCCTGACAGAGGGGGTTTCCTCCCTTACCTTTGATCTTACAAAGTCTTAGTTTCAATCAGCCAGGCAGAGGAGACCATAAATCTTCTTTGGAGCCCAGGCTGGAGCTGCCAGTAAGACAGGTCGCTCTTCTCTTCTGGACATCCAAGGGTGACTTTAAGGAGGATGCCTGGAGGACATGGGGAGAAGGTGAGAAGGGGCAAAATGATGGGAAGAAGCAGCCAAGCATTCTAGAAGTTTCTCACTTTTACAGCTACTCGTTTGTAGTACTTAAGAGCAGAAAGGTTCCAGAATGATGTCCACTGGAAGGCCCTCAGCTGTCTTGTGGAAGTGCTTTGGAAAGGTTAGAATTTCTGCTGGAAGGATAAAGCGGAATGTGCAAGCCCCCATGCCCCACCCCCAAAAAGCCCCAGGACAGCTGGAAGGGAGTTGAAGAGAGCAGGTGGCAAGGCTGACAGGGAGCTGCTGACACTCCTGATCCTCTGTGTGCTGGGGCCGTGACATCAGGGGGAGAAACTCTGAGTGGGAGCTTTTGGGAAGGATAAGTGCCTGGATGTGGAGCCCTGCCAGATATCCTTCCTGGTTTAGGCCAACGTGATCTAGCAAAGGCCAGGCACTGGTAAGAGAGGAGCTGAGACAGGGATGGCACGAAGGTCAGATGAGTAAGAACGGGCTGTCTTGGGAGGCAAAGAGGAGTCAGTGCCCTTCCCCAAGGAGATGGCCCTCATCTAGCCATGCTTGGTACCTGGTGTCTCTTCTCTGTCCTTTCTTTGCAGTGGGGAAGAGAGAGATGATCACCAAAGCTCTCCTGCCTGTTTCTGTGTGATATGTTTGATATTGGGTTGTTTAATAGGAACCAACTAAATGTCAAACATATTCTTACAGCAGTGGGCAATTTGGCATCACACTCTCTCCAACCTCTAGGGCCCTGGGACTTCTATCTTTTTTACCAAACCTTTTCTTTCCAGGACCCCTTTGGGAACAGCCTACATGGATTTCAGTGTTAAGCTGGAGGGCTGGTGTGATAGCAGGAAAGAGCTGGCATTTATCTGAGTATCAAATCTTCCTATATCTTGCCCTGGCTGGTGTGGCTCAGTGAACTGAGTGCCAGCCTGTGAACCAAAGGGTCGCCAGTTTGATTCCCAGTCAAGGCACATGCCTGCGTTGCAGGCCATGTCCCCAGGAGGGGGTGTGTGAGAGGCAACCACACATTGTCGATTCTCTCCCTCTCTTTCTTTCTCCTTTCCCCTCTCTCTAAAAATAAATAAAAATCTTTAAGAAAAAAAATCTTCCTATATCTTCCCCTTGTACCAAAAGCGATATATCTTTGATCTTCTCCTGTACTCGTGTTGTCCTCTTCTTTATCCAGTGTTTAATCCCCCCCTTTGTTACCCACCACTTCCTGACCCTGGGCCTGTCTTGCTCCTTAGTCCCACAGCAGGAATCTTTGATTTCTCTTTCCTTCAAGAGTCAGCTGATGGTGGCCTATCTGCCAACTACCTCTACTGACTGGAAGCTCTCAAGAGTGGGCTCCAGTTTGGCCTTCTGTCTCAGTTTCCCCTATTGCTGGGGCTTAGTATTAACACTACCCATCTATCGTGACATAATGACAAATTAGAGCCACCTATATCCTTCCCTCATAGCTCTGGTCACCTTGAAAAGTGTCTCCCCATCCCCTGGTATATTCTCAGGTTGCATGGTGCCAGTATACTGGAACCAACTGCCACCTGTCAATAACAAGGCTCCAAGTCCAAGTGGAAGAATGAGCATGGCCTGCAACTAGGCTGGGGAGAACAGAACTGGTAATGATGATGAGGATGATGAGTGTGTGCAGCATGGGGGTGGAGGATCTGAAGGGAGCAGAGGGTGAGAAGAGAGGGAGTGATACAGATCTCGGTCTGGGTGGGTATCGACGTTCTATTTAAAGATCACTATGGGGGGAAAAGGACGTGATCCTATCTGGATTACTCTGACCCTGCCCTGATTCTCTCCACCACCCCACCTGATGCTCTGGGATGGCCTTTCAGATCTCAACCCTGCCTTGTTAGTCCTCCCCTGTGGCTTTTAACGGGGAGGAACGGAGGAATGTGTCTCCCTGCCAATTAAAGACTCTCGAAATAAAGTAATTTGATCTGGGGGATCTGGGGGAATTGTCAAGGATCATGAGTGACCTCCCCTTTCACTGTTGCTCAAGCTTCCTAAATACCAAGAGTCAAAAGGTAAAACCCAACCAGTGGAATTTGATCAGATCCAACACATTTCCAGGTGAGGGTAAGAGGAAATTGAAGAGCAACTAGGACCCTCTGAGTGAAAACTACCATTCTAGAATTGCCAAAGTACCCTCCTCTATTTTAGTGTTTTCCCTTCCCCTCTCCCTGCTCTTTTAAAACACCCATAGAGCTGCCCAGAGTGAATGGAAAGTTTCAGGGTCAGCATGAGCCTGTCCCCTCCCCCACTTTCCATTGTCTAAACTCAGCCTCAGCTGTTCTCAATTTTTTTCTTTGCTGGTGATGTCAGTCCATCAAAGTGTCTCACCCTGTGTTCTCCCAGGAGAACAATGATGGACTGGAAGGAGCCTGAAGGACCATATTAGGAACAAGAGGTGGAGCCATGAGCAGAGATAAAGGCTCAAGTCTGGTGGACTCCTACTCACTCAGCCAGCAGCACCTCCCTTCTTGCCCTAGTCTCCAGTTCCCCGTGTTCACAGGTGAGCTCACAAATAGTCACTGCTCGCGATGGAGGCCATCAAGAAAAAAATGCAGATGCTGAAGCTGGACAAGGAGAATGCTCTGGATCGGGCAGAGCAAGCTGAAGCTGAGCAGAAGCAGGCAGAAGAAAGAAGTAAACAGGTAGGCACTAGCACTGGTGTCTCTCACCTACTGGCGAGCAAGACTGTTCAATGGAAGAATTTTCATGGAAAAGGCAGTGACCACTGGTACCAGCTCCTTATTTGGGTGGGAGAAACTCATCTGCTTCCCCAAGCTTACTTGGATAGGCAGAGGACAACTAGGGTAGACTCAGACTACGTGTGTGATCTTGGGAAAGTCAGTGGCCCCCTTCTAAGATACAGTGGGTCTCCTTGATTTAAGAGGGAGTAGATCACATTTTGGAAGAACACTTTTCTAGAGGAAAAGGTGGAAGCTTGGCATATAGCATCTCTTTGCCCTTAGATGGAGTTATAGGCACCTATACCTTAATTTATTTATTATCCCAGAGTCTTAGAAACCCAGCATGGCTTGATCATCTTAGGATCAGAGATAATTGGGTCATAGGCCAAAGCCAGCATAATTCCTGGAGCAGTTGGCTGGAAGTGACTAGAGAGAAAGTACATCTTTCTGGGGAAGATAAAGTAGAAGCTCAGCTGAGGGGTCTGTCAGGAAGATCCCAGGGTCTGAGCCTGCATTGTTGTGTATGTACGTCTTGTGTGTGACTCTTGGGGCTCCTATAGCTAGAAGATGAGCTGGCAGCCATGCAGAAGAAGCTGAAAGGGACTGAAGATGAGCTGGACAAGTATTCTGAAGCTTTGAAGGATGCACAGGAGAAACTGGAGCTGGCAGAGAAGAAGGCAGCTGATGTGAGTATTAGAGAGGTGGGGGGTGGATTTCATCAACACATATAATATCTTCATGTTAATATGACTAAATTGCAGACACACTGGGACATATATATACTTGTGAATTCACAGAACATAAGA